AAACTTTCTATGATATTTCAATAGGCTTATGTATGAATAAATTATTTGTTGCAGCTTGTTGTTAAGATATGAAGTGTAGAATTTGAGGGAGATTTTGTATGTATTGCGACATGCATGTACAAAGTTAATTTTGCGTGCTTGTTCTTCGGGTATCTTAATCGAAATAGTCACGTACAAGAACACTTTACGTGTACGGGTACACTACCCGTACCCGTACACCAATATTGGGGTATCTTAAGGTCTCTATCATGAAGGTCCAAGATCCTTTACCACATGTACAATAAAAGTTATTACAGAAAGTGAGTTAACATCTCTACTGGTTTCACTACTTTGGCCTCCAGACTGCTTATAACATTGGCAATTGTTTTGTTTAGCATGAAACATTCAATCATTGATCAACGAGGTTATTTGTTATAATTACCATAAACCTAATGTGTTCAGGTTTTGTTTACTGGGCAAATATGGCCGAATAACAATTTATTTGCATAAGAAAGGAAAGTCAAATTTTGTCCTACAATAATATTTTGACTTGTTTAATTTAGAAAATAACTTTAACTGAACACATTATTTATAAGTTCACTCCTGACTGATGATCCAACTGCATTATTGTCAGGGGTGAGTTCACATGGGTAGTCAGCGTTGACTGGCATTGCTGTATTGTCAACAATACACATATTGTGCAAAACTGCAGTTGCTGTTATGATGGTACAACAGTTACTTGGTTTGAACTGTAGGGATCCACCAGAAACATCTAGACATCTAAACCTTGTCTTCCATAAGCCAAGGGCCCTCTCAATGGTGTTTCTTGTTTTGGTATGGGCCTTCTGGTATTTGGCCTGACCCGCTGTGGAGACATCATCTGGGCGAAATGGGGTCATCAGGTATGGCTGAATGCCATAACCCTTTGTCTCCTAAGAGCCGCCCATTTCTACCCCCTTCATTTTCCACATGCACTTGCAAGGTACTTGAGTGAAAAACTACTGAATCGTGAACAGAACCGTGCAATTTGCTCATTAACATTTGTGCATTGCACACCGCCATAACATTAATAGCATGAAAGCCCTTGTAGCAGACATACAGGTGTTCCTCATTGTCTGGACCCTTAATTGCAATTAATGAGCCATCAATTGCCCCAATCACCCTTGGAAAACCAGCTATGCTGTAGAAATCAGCCATAGCTTTCTGAAAGAAATAAGAAATAGGACACTAGGTTCAAACCCCATGTACATCTTTCTGGGTAACTGCTTTAAATTAACCTACAAGGTTTACTGGAATCATTAGCATTGTACAACAATGGAATGGAAAATTCGAGAAAATATCCATACTCTACCATGGGTGGACAGCAGAGTAGAGGATTCAAACATGGTAAGGACTGGGAGAAATTCCTTTATTGCTGATTAGTTCTATTTTCATAAGCGAAAATGATGCCACCCTTTGTAGGCTATGGAAATTTTCTGAAATTACCCCTATTAAAATGTCACCAATGGACTCTTACATTTATCTCCACTGTTGATGTGGGGAATGTTATCCATTCTGGAGCAATATTGGCCAGACAGCGTGACACACACAGATATCAACGACCGACTGACGCTTGCCTTCGAGATTCCCATGGTGTCACCAATAACCTTTAAGAAACTTCCGGTGCCATAGTATCGCAGTGCTGCCAAAACCTAAAAGCCATTATGTCAGGTTAAAATGGTTTGCCAATTTGTTCAAGATTCTAATAGAAGTTATAGCAGAAGAAATGTATTTTCCAACTGCAGATATGAACCACTTTGACATACAATAAATAGTAAACTGAGCCATGGAAAAGCTTGTAATAATTAAAGAAGTCTGAAAAAAGTTAAAATCATGCAGACCCCCGAAGAAACAGCGCGGCCAAGCTGTTGTGTTTTCGGCAAAGTATGCTATCTTTTCAGCTTTTCTTTTTTATGTGTATATTAAAATTTGTCTTCAAAACTGACAAAAAGCGAAGTTCTTTGATCTTTAAATGCAAGTGAGCGCCATTTTTCTTCTTGTATACCATATCCCTAGCTACAGATCGAGCAGTTTGAATCGTAAGTCATTGTTGGTTTCTATAAATTTGACGGCCTTGGAGATCTTTAATTCTGATTCAAATTGTTATCTGTTTAAACACATATGGTTGGAAATATCCCATGAAAATGACCGTCTTCTTTTCTATTGTTTTCAAAGATGATTTCTCACTTAGATTCATTTTCCTTGACCTGTTTTAAACATCACTCGATCTGCTCCTCGATATGGATCGCGTGCTTAATTAAGCATATAAATAAATCCCGAAAGACCGCGGACGGCAACCAAAGAAAAGAGTGTTATGGCCAGGTTAAGAAATTAACTCTGAATAGAGCAAGCAAAAAGGCGAACTAGCACACCGTGTTGCTTTAATTCTGTAAGTGCTTACCTGCGTCTCCACGGAAAGCGGACAGCTTCACAATGTATTTCTCTGCAGTTCTCCATGGAACTTCTCCACAAGCCAATTTATCTCGCTGAGGATAACCTGAACCTCTCTATGACTTCGCATTCATCCATGTTAAACAAAACTGTTCNGTTCTTTGATCTTTAAATGCAAGTGAGCGCCATTTTTCTTCTTGTATACCATATCCCTAGCTACAGATCGAGCAGTTTGAATCGTAAGTCATTGTTGGTTTCTATAAATTTGACGGCCTTGGAGATCTTTAATTCTGATTCAAATTGTTATCTGTTTAAACACATATGGTTGGAAATATCCCATGAAAATGACCGTCTTCTTTTCTATTGTTTTCAAAGATGATTTCTCACTTAGATTCATTTTCCTTGACCTGTTTTAAACATCACTCGATCTGCTCCTCGATATGGATCGCGTGCTTAATTAAGCATATAAATAAATCCCGAAAGACCGCGGACGGCAACCAAAGAAAAGAGTGTTATGGCCAGGTTAAGAAATTAACTCTGAATAGAGCAAGCAAAAAGGCGAACTAGCACACCGTGTTGCTTTAATTCTGTAAGTGCTTACCTGCGTCTCCACGGAAAGCGGACAGCTTCACAATGTATTTCTCTGCAGTTCTCCATGGAACTTCTCCACAAGCCAATTTATCTCGCTGAGGATAACCTGAACCTCTCTATGACTTCGCATTCATCCATGTTAAACAAAACTGTTCGAACTTGGTAAGTCCGAGGTTGGCGAACTGGGAAAAATAGTCCGCCTGCAGCAGCCACTTTGTTTTTGTTTGCAAAAATGTTGCCTCCCAGTAACTTTATGGGAGCTTCAGGCTCCTGTAAGTTTACAGGAAAGTTACCGGGAAAATTATCGGGAGCGACGAAACTGGAAGATTCGAGAAACACCCGATAAGTTTACGGGAAATTACCGGGCGACTTACCAGGCCCGATAAGTTACCAGGACTTTCGAGAAACGGGCCCCATGTCTCTTAAAATGAGCCTTTAAGCTTTCTAGTTGTGATTTGCCTATGCTATACACAAAGAGAAATGTTTTCTTACATACTTCAACACAACAGAAAAAGTAACTCATCCGATGGCGTTTTTTCGGATTGGAGACTTGAATTGTCAACACTGACAGCAGAGGTCATTATCTCTGTGATCGATAGCACGTAATTCATAACATCGTGTTGGCAATGAGTTTCACAGAGTCACGATATGTACCCCATAACTAGACTTGTTGCATGAAAATGGAGTAATTTAAACGCAAGACATGGACATCGCCAGACATATGGATTCCCAGAAACAAAAAGACTACGGATGTAAATGCACTACCGTTTTATGAAGATTTAGTTTATTAATGTAATAACTCAGTTGTGATCCGCTGGAGCAGTTTCCGAAAATGGTTGTTGATGGCACAAATAATTGCCTCGATGCTGAACATACAATATGCTATTCCAAGAACTTCACATTTTTGGAGACTATGAAAATTTGTGACGGGTACTTTGCTGCCAAACACAACTCCGCTGGTTGCCAGTTTTGCATAGAAACAAAGTATGTCGTTTGCTGACTACTTTCTTCCTGATATACATAACAATGTCTTTAGCTTATATACATAAAGTTTATATCGTTAAGATTATTTGTCATATAATTTGTGACGCATAGCTTGCCGCCGAACATTTCTCCGCTAGTTGCGAGTTTTGCATTGAAACAAAGTCTGTCATTTGCTGACTACTATCTTCCCGATATAAATAAAATACGCTTTACATGGGTTCATTTCAGGTCAAAGTTTAACTGAACGAACAATACACCTGTTGGTTTCATATGACACAATTCACGTGTTTGGAGTGTCTGTGAATTCGCTTAAACTCAATCTTCACTAAAACAAAAAACTCTAGCTTATCGAACTTGAATGCTCCGCCTCTCTGCTTAGTCCTCATATTCAGGGAAAGATTAATTTATCAGTAACAATGATTTCGTTGTTGACAAAAGTTTGTGAGTTAAGCTGGCAAACAAGTTATTCGATTCAGCATGATAAATGTCTAGCACCAGCAACGTCTGATTTGGGATTCTATACCGTAGTTTTCGTTTTCGATCTCACAGTTATTTGGTCGCCGTTTCAGCTCCCTGTTAAAAATTACAACTCCTCTTCTGTCAGTCAGTGGTTCACGTCGCGCTGATTAAGATACAAGATTAAATACACCATAGTCAATATTGTTCACGGGAAATCCATCGACTATAATTTATGCCACAAATTTCAAGTTCAATGATTCTTGCGCTATGCGATTCTCGTCGCCCAGGAAACGAGACGTGACTGGTAACTTACTTTTAAGTGGTACTGTATTGTTGTCTTCAAAAATCCACAGTTTGACTTCACAGCAGCCCCTAGAATAGTATGTGCAGGAGAAGAAGGTGTTGACGCAGGAGGGCTAGGTAGAGAATATGGCATAGTGTTGCATACTGCAATATTCTCAGCAAAAGCCAACCTTTTCGAAGGGCCAGAAGACAGGAAACTGCCATTATATTCAATCGATGGCATTAACTCCAGGTTGCTTCAACTTGCTGGTAAAATGGTGTCATATCTAATCATACATTTAGATATAGGCATTCCCTGTCTTAGTCCATCAGCCTACAACTACATTGCACCAGAATCTGTTACCCCTGAGTGCTGTCGAGTTGATGACATTGTTGATAGGACCTTATTTCAAAGGTAATTAGTTTCACTATAAAGCAGTAAAAATATTTCACCTCTAAGGTGACCCCTAAAGGTCTTAACCATTTTCCAACGTGTTCACTTTGATCATTCAGCACTACCACTCTTTATCAGTTACTGTTATAGTAATGGTATGACACAAATGCTCAATCATCAGTGAGCAAGTGATAATTTTTGTGCCATAAGTGGTTACCATAGCAAAAGTATAACCCCTTAAAAATACCCTTAATGTTAGGTTGGGGTAACCATGCGTTTTTGGAGATAGTCGAGCTTTAATCTGGAACAAAAATGCTGATTCAGCATTGCTTCAAAAAACAATATGTATATTTCATTGCAGATTTCCTGAGAATTCGCCTTTTTGCCATGCACAAAACTAACACTTAATATATAAACAGTAACACAACAGGGACTTTTCATATGATTTTAATCTAAAATCATGACAATGGCATATAAGGAAGTGAACCTTTTTCCCTCCACACCAAAATAATATCAATGATGGAGTCTGAAAGATGGTCACTTCCAATTTGACTGAACCTTGAACTTTTGTGTGCTTGTTTTCATAAATCACAGGTGACTGCCGCTGCAGGCAATGAAGACCTAAAAGAGGTTGCCAACCATTAACTTCTTGGGAATGCACTTATAACTGCAGGATGGCTAAAGCCTGTCACAATACTCAACAGAAATCATGCAATGCAGACACTTATTGTGCATGATGTGCTAAAAAAAATGGCAAGAGCCACTGGATGAATTCCGTAAAGGACTAGAGACAGTGGGAATTCTTGGTGCTTACTTCCTGAATACTTGGCAAGCGGCTTTGACAAGTCAGGAAGAACATGAATGCCTGGAGTTCCAAGAAGGAGACAATGCTAAGGAGGTGAATTAAATCCTTGTTAAAGCCATTCAGAATTTGGACAATGGTTTGTGTGGAAATGTTATATACCAATGATGATGATGTGTGTCTACATGTATCTAACTTAAGTTGAGACCCAAAATACATGCCTGTTTTCTTATTAGATTAAGGGGGCTTTCATCAAGGCAGCACGGATACACATGTGCAATGCACAATGATGGGGAGGAAGCAAATTTAACTTGGAACACTTGTTTCTTGCTTACAATAAGTGAATTTGTAGATAATAGTATGCAACATTCATAAATAGTTATTGATCTGGCAATTCTGATGTCTGTAAATCAAGAATCCCGCCCATTGTCATCACAATAAGTCATTTCAGGGACAGTTGCTACAAAAAGTGAAAAATATTTTTCAGAAGGCCTATTGTGAATTGCTTTTCTCTCTCTTTTTTCAACTATCAGGAATAATGAATTACTGTCCCAATAAATGTCAGCTTGATCTCAGTGGGCTACTGTGACTCTTCTCGTCTATTTATTTTTTATGTTTCCTCTTCCAGAACAACAAAGTGCTGGACTGGAAAAGTCTTTTCGCTATGATAATGACATCCATTTCTTGAAAAGACTAATGGTCTGTCGCAGACTTCTAAAAATGTTTCCTGGAAAACCTCTAAACTTCCATGCAAAGTTGGTACCTTTAACACCATGCTACAAGTTTCTGCAAAAAATGCTTGGTTGCTGTTGTTAGAAAATTCAACTTCAACTTTCCTACTAAGGCCAAGTGGAGGAACTTTGTCCAGGGATGTCACAGTAATTACAAGTTGTTGCACCTTTTTAATGGTGGTACATGTTTGGATGTTTTATTAAACTCATTTCATTCATATGATTTGTCCCTGTTTTTTTTTTAATCTTTAACTGCTCGTTGCTGTTTCTTGAAGAAACGTTAGTACCTCCAGGTAGATGTCAACACCATATTCATCAATAGCGACTTTAAGATCCACTACGGCGAGGCTCTGGTACGGCAAAAGTGTGAAAGATTACTTCCGGTGACATCACTTGTTGTGATCCAAGCAAGCTTTCCCGCTGTAGGACGGCTGTGTGGTACGGCAAACATGCCGAGTTGAGGGAGTATTCACTACGTGAGTAAACTACATTGCATTTTTATAGAATCTTTACTCGTTAAAATGCAAAGATGGCATAAAAACGTTCATGTTACAATGTTTTAATAGTTTTTTGGGTTTATTACGTTTTTTTTAGCAAGTAACTTGTTCTAAGTGAAGCCGAAAGATGGACAAGTCAGACAAGCTCACATCCCAAGCATCGTAAGTTCGAAGTTGTTTTTATTTTTGCTCACTTCTAGTCTCTAAAACACTGAAGTTTAGCGAAATTTCATGCAGCTTAATGTAGAACGAGTAACATCTGGAATATCAATGGTTTGGAAGTAACTGATCATGAAGAATAATGTTTTCGATTTCAATTTGCTTATTTTCTGTCGATTAGCTGAGTGAAATCACTTGACTTGGTTGTTGAGTTTGCCCTTTTTGGGAACTTTGATTTGATGACAAGCAGTATCTTTCTCATGAAATTTATCTCCTAATAATGACAAAAACTTTTTTAGAGCGCATTAACATTCATAAAACATCTTTTTGAGGGCTTAAATAAGACAAGCAAATTTTACACTTGTACATCTACGCCTTCTAATGGAACGTGTTGAAATTATGCTTCTGTTACAAATCCACTCTTAAGCAAATCTAGGCCGGCCAGTATATACTTGTAATGGAATGTCTTGAAGTCGTGAGAGTAGTTTTTCTCCGGATCTGAAAACAATAATAGTCGTAAAACTAAACCAAAAATTTTATGCATATTTAATGACAATGTATCAGGCTGAATTTCGAGCCCAGCAGTTTCCATTTGATCTGTTAACTCAGAAGAGACATCCCACTTCTGCATGTAAGCAGAGTAAAACTTTATGCTTATTTTTTACCCAAAATCTTTAGTAAAAAAGGAAACCCTCACTTTATAAAAAGTGGTACCAGTGCCCAGTTATATGATGATATCCTTTATTTTTCCAGAAATTCCAGTGTCAAAGGTTGCTGTTTTTGCTTCTCACAGGAATGGTTGTTTTCTATTCTTTTTATCGTTATTAGGAAGTCAATGCAATGGACAAGGGAGCATGATATTCTTCTTTGCCGAGAAGTTCTTGCCCTAGAGGTTTATAAACACAAAAAGGGAACAAACAAAGCAGGGCGTCTGTGGGATGAAATTGCCAAGAATCTTAGAGGGTGCCAAACCGTGAGATTTAAATCTAATTTATCTCAGCGAGCAGTCAGGGAGAGATTTAACCTGATCCAAGGCAGATTCAAAGAAAGTGAAAAAACAGAATTAGCTGCATCTGGAATTTCTGTACCAGAACAAGATGAGCTTGATGTACTTCTTGAGGACATAGCAGAAAGAGTAAGAGATGCTATTGCAGAAGCTAGTGAAAAGAAAGGTCAGGAGAAGGCTACAGCAGAAGATATCAGAAACCAAGCTTTGGAGAGGATGGGGCAAACAAAGAAACGAAAATCTGAAGACAGCCAAGAGCCAAAGGAAAGGAAATCCAGGAGAAGCAGTAATGAGGCTCTCCAGTTTATGCAGGAGAAGGCTGAATCAGACAAGGCATTCCGAGAAGAAGAGCTAAAGATAAGGAAGAAAGAAGAAGAAACCAAATCTGCTCAATTCCAAGCAATGTTCACCCAGCAGCAATCCTTCTTGCAAGCAATGACCCAACAGCAGGCTCAACAGCAGCAACAGAATCAACACATGCAGATGTTAATGGCACAGCAAAGTCAGGCAATGATGTCTGTTTTGCAAAAACTCTTGTCAAAAGAGTGACTCAAAAGAGAGACAGATCAGTTTCTTTCCATTTGAGTTTTACAGCAAGAAGTGTTAGATTAAAAGGGATGTGAAATCATTCCAAGTGTTGTAGCAAAGTTGTGTTTTGGAGTCAGCTACTGTATTTTAAAGGTAATTCATTTTGGATTTGCATGGAAGGTCATCAGAGTGTGCCTTTATTTTATATTTGTTTTTAAAAAAGGTTAAAACAACCAATGTTACTCAAAAAAAAAATTCCACCCATAAGACATAAAACATATATAACAAATATGGCTCTTGTTTTCATAACTAACCTCGAATTCAAGCAAAAGCTACTTTTGTGTTTTTGCATGAATTCAAGGCCAGAAAGGTGAAAACAAAGGCTTTTCTCATTGGCTATCACATTTTCCAAGTTCATATCTTTATTTGCAAAAGGCTGGTCTTTTACTGACAGTCTCAAAAGCAATACAATTTTAACAGGAGTCATATGTGATACCAACTCTACAGTATTTTTTATAAGACTGAATCATTACATGACAATTTCTAAATGCAAGTGTGATATGCCTTTACAGATTCTAGTGTTGTAAAAATAATCAAAATCTTGAGGTATACGTAGTATGTTGAGGTTTGTCACCCTTGAGATCTGATGCTGTGACCCCAACATGTTTCCAAAAGTTCTCATTAAATCCAGCTAAACTTCTCAGAATGTCTAAGTGCTCTTGGTTTCATTGCTGTGTTGCTAATTTACACCATAAAACCATAATGCTTGAATTATTAAAGATAATTTTCAAAACAGTCAGCCTAAACTGTAGCACTTATGCAAAATAAGTTTCAAGGTTGGGAGGATTACACTGGAAAAAATCTGAGGTTGTGTTTCCCTATAGACATGTTAGCCCATTTCTAAGGATAGCACTGACGATGTACATTTTCCCCACACTACTCAGTCCCAACTTTAAGTTCTTTTTAAAGTCCAGAAACTTGAAGTAATTGATTATGTCTCCGAAGAGCCACTCCACACTTGTTCTCACTGAGCTCATAGCAGTATTGTAAGCTTCCATCTGTGGGGTTAAAACCCCATTTCTAAATGGACATTGAAGGTGTACACGGATGGGGTAAGCAGGATCCCCGTAAATACAAAGTGGTTGTCCAGCCAGGCTGAAGGCATACTGGCGGAGATCATCCAAAAGGTGAGACTCAGCAAGTATACCTGCATCATGCTTTCTTCCTTCTGCAACAAAATTCATGGACAGGAGGAGTGTTAAAGTTCAGTCAGATAAGTGAAAAAGTCATAACATTTTGTTAAAAGAACGTTGAAGCATCAAGGGTCTCACAGGGATATTTCATTCATTTTTCTTGTAACTATAACAATTCAGGAAAAATGAAACTATTTATTTGTTCATTGATATATTTATTACAACATAGTCAGCTTGGCTATGAGGTAATGAAAGTGAAGTGTTTTAATTTGTAAGAGTTTCTTTTTTTTAATTTCTCATAAAAAGGAGTTGTGTGTTTCCAAGAAGCTTCATTTCAAGCGATTTCTCAAGATCAAAAGAAAAAAAAATACACTTAAACAGTTGCCTCCTCACCCTATAAACCCCAGATTCCATTTTCTAAAAAAAAAACAACTTACCAACAGGGCCATACATATTTGCAATCATTCCATCTGGGGTAACAACAGACTGAAACTTGATTCCATGGATACGTTTGTGTCCATTGTAAAGCAACCTCTGGTTGACAGTGCCGGGCCTACAAATAGGGCGAACTGTCCCATCAACAAAAGCAAAACAGTTATTAAGTGGGGCTCCTTTTCGGTGAACAACTTCGGCAAATCTCTCAAGATTGGCTTGGCTTAGTTGCTGATGATTCCACTGCAGAATGCGATGGCTGTGAGCTTGATAGATATAATCCAAAACTTGATTTGTAATCATACACAATACAGGAACCGGCCTAGCGAACAAGTGGACCATATCGCTGTATCGGCAAGGGTAGCACAACCGCTTCAAAAGCATACATAGTCCTTCAGTTCCTTCACAAATTGTTCCTTGGTGACAAATTATAACATCAGGAATCCGCAAAGCTTGAGAAAGCCTTGGGATATCAGTTTTCCTGAACCGAAATTCGGCCACACATTCATCTTCGGTAAGGTTTTGGAGGTCGAAATGTGGATACAAGTCACACGGCAAGTCCAGGTTTTGTGGGCTGTAAAGGTCGTATAGTAAGAGAAATTCGGCGTCATTGAGGACTTTCATGTCGTAGTAGAGCACTATAAGCTCTCTCAATTCTTTCCAAGAAACCATTTCTTCTAAATAAACATACCACAACCAAAAAACTTGGAGCCAAGTCTGATTTGTTTACATGGAGTTTGACTTTGCCGTACTACACAAAACTTAATCAATTCGAGTTTTGGCGGGAGACGCCGTAGTCGGCCCAGTCTCTTTCGGTTGCACCCGCCGTACCAGAGCTTCGCCGTAGTGGATCTTAAAGTCCCTAATGTTGCGTAGAGGGTTAAATAAGTTTGTGAGTGATTAGTACTGAGCTGGTTCCGGTGGGTTTCTTGTGTTGGGAACTTCAACTGGAGTTTCATCATCTAAGCTAACATCTGGTGCAGGGCCATCCCAGTCAACACTACAGTGGTCACCGTGAAAAACATGTAAACAACACATTTCAGGATGGCTGTATGCCACACACATGTTGTGAACCAATGTACTGCGACATACTTCTTACTAAAAAAATTGCAATTAATGTGTTATTATTTCTTCATAATCCTGGAAGAAAATGGTTCATGAAGACTACTCATGTAGATTTATTCTCCAAGTTACTTTACATGTAAGAGCTGTTATTGTGACTGCACTTTGGAAACAAGCTGAAAAGTTGTACTTCTCCACTTGTCTCGACCACAAATTGGATAACATGAGAAACAAGTCTGAAAATCACTTTAACTTTGCATGAACATTCAAAACTACACCTCACTACCACCCTTCCCTTTTTAACGCACACCTGACTCCAGAAATCATCAATTGCCCGATTTGAAGCTGAGACAGCACCAGAGATCCACAGTTGAAGAGGACTCTTTCCCCTCTATGTAGAGATTGGAGCCCTGTTATGCCCTTGGGCAAACAATTGCATTGTTTTGGTTAATTCTTAGAACATACACACAGTGAAGGGTAAATAAATGAAGCTCATTTGATGCACACAGCGTTCCATTGCATAGAAAAGGTTGTAGTATACATAAAGACATCCACAAAAAAGGTCTCTCCAAAGAGGTTCTATTCTTTGGTTATGTACGCTTCGCCCAGCAATATGGCTCCCTCTATCAGGTCTCTGTAACGGGTGACTCAGCATATAACCAAATAACGTGCAACATTCTCACCACCCTTATCAGACCGTACTCTTGAAGGTAGACAAAAACTTCCAACTGCTTAGAGAAAGCAATTGAGTACAGTACTTGCCAGGTTACTTGCGCTGCATTGTAAAAAACAATCATTCTCAAGAAGCCATCAATTTCACCATGTATTACTAATCGCCATCTGAGAATTAAAAACAGTCAAAACCTTTAAGTATTCTGGTCTCTGATGACTCCTCCACCCCACCCCCGATACCCTTGTCATTGTGTCTGGTGTTAGGAATTGGATAAGTATCTAAGCCACCAAATGGCGGAAAAATGTGCAGGTAAGTTTTTGCGACTGCAAAATTGTTAGATATCGTTAGTTTTGTTAGTGTTCATACCTTGTGTACAGTTATCACCGTACACAAGGTATGAACTGCTTTACACCAAAAGTTCAACGCCCTCCAGCATGAATCATGGATTAGTAAAAATATAAAATACGATAGGATGCAGCAAACGCTGATTTGATATACTGGCATGTAACGAGGTTTCATACATTTACCTTATTAGCTTATGATTCCTGTTGATATGCCACAAAGCAAGAGAGCCACTAACTTGATATCTTCTCTGGCAAACAGTTCGCAGCTCAAGGACTCTTAGGAGGACTCCCTCGGGATTGACTCTTCTCATACACTCCCTAATGCGATTTTGCAGAATTCTATGACCTGAATTGAGCAAGAGGCCTGTTATCCTCTTGCAGCCACAGTTGGGAAATTCTCTCATTAATCATTCAACGAGGCCATCCAAAGTTTCATCAGTAATATTTGAATATCTTTGCCTCACAAATGTTTCAAACTCACGAATTCTTCGTTCAACAGTGCTTTCACTGACACCAAGCAGAGAGGCAATCTCTACGGATTTAAAACCAAAAATCTAATAAAAACTCGAGCTGTTCCTTTGCAACGATAAAGCATGGTCTTCCTTGCTCGCCAGTAGTTGCAACCTCTGCTTGAAATGCGACGTTCTCACTACAACTACCGTTCTCATTTTGTCTTAGCTGTTCTTTCGCTTCTTGAATAAGGGCTAGTACTGCCTCCCCAGAAGGGATATTGTCACAATAACGTACAACAGCATTGTATAACCAGTTAAGGCGGAATTGTATTACATCATTCTGACCAGTACTCCGTTGAAGGAAACCTATGATATCAGTTACATGTCTGCTTAATTCTACAGAAATCGACTCATCCACCATGTTTGACAGAACAGTGCACGAACACTGGTAATAACTAGAATAAATTATATATAGTGCAGGAAATGTTTCTCACCCCGGGACTCCTCGTGAGTTTCTTATCCCAAGGCTTCCAGTCTACTTGCCGAACGTAATTCAAGAAGCCGCATTCCAAACATAATTCAGAGGAGCCGAACAAAGTTCAACTAAACTCAAGAAAACTGCCAGCCTAGTTATAAGTGAAATATTCCCAACACAATTCTAAGAGAGTCGAACATAGTTTATGACATTTTTTATTGAAGATAAAAGAGCCAAACATAATTCCATGCAATGCTGGAACATAATTCTGCAGTTCGGCCTAATGAAATATCAAACACCATAACATGATTTGTTTTCTAATTGTGACCCTAATAACCCTTCATACTGTAAACGGCATGATTAGCTATTGAGACTTTCTGGCAGTAAACCGGATGTGTCCTGACCAAGAGTGCAAAGCATGTGACAAAAGTCGGCACATAATGTTGAATGTTCAATTTCTGATTTTCTCCTCAAGTAATGATTTCGAAACAAAGGAAACAATGCATTGTCAGTAGAGCATGAAAAAGCCTTAATTTGACGTGTGTATCTTTATCAAAATTTGCATAAAAGCCCAATCTGACACAAAGAACTAAGTACCTACTGAAAATAGCAAAGGGGGAATAGAAGTATCCACTAAAACGAAATCTGGGAAATATATGTAAACTCTTAAGTAAATTATTATTATTAATGATTATTATTTTACGTCATGGAGGAGCGTGCCCCCAGAGGCGGTGTGTCACTTTCATGCTCTAGTAATTGTAAACAGACAACAGGGCAGTAAAAGAGCAATGTCTTAACACGTATTCTAACAGATCCATTGACTCTTGTAAAAAGTAATTAACATGAACTAGCTACTTTCATGGTTCACTTTGGTTTTAACTGAAAATCCCTTGGATTAAACTCATGATCACTTGGAAAGAGCATGATCAAAGTTGCGGAAACAACAAAAGAAGAATAAAAGAAAGTATCAGAACACTGTTAAGCAAGGAACCGTAAACAGCGAAGCAACGGGTACCAGGGGAATGTCTTTTCTGATTCATGGTATTTCAGTATTGACTAAAGAGGCACCAGTTCGCTTACAAAAGTACTGACGCAGTTTAAACAAGAGAACTCTAACTGACAATGGGTCGGCATCTACTTGAAGCCATATACTGTATAGAAAACGGTTCAAAAACCAAAGAAGGCTGAAAGCATTGAAATCGCAAATTTTGCTCTGGTTGTATGATTGATAGGATTAAGTTTATTTTTATTTTTTCTCACTATCTAATATTCTCATGAACGCTTTCAGTTCCAGTTCTTCATGTTTCTGTAAAAGTGGCCCTAGTACACAGAAACATAAAATTGTAATCCATATTAAACAAACTTCTGCGTGGGAAGGAAGTATGAAGTATTTATTTGTCAGTTAATGTTTCTGGTGATAGTGAGGAAAACATGAAAATGAACAATATAACAGGAAGATTCAGCTTGTTTCCTTTCTTTCTTTCTGTTTTCCTTATTTACATAAATCTACCATCGACAAATTTGTTGTATTTTCTCTGCTGAAAAAATCATGACCAAAATCGGACTTGTTATTACAACATAACAAACAAAATGAAAAGTTCTAAAGGGATCTTACTATCGTTGGTAGAATTCAACTAGTCAAAACATTTTTTATCCCCACTTTCTTATACCATACTAGCTTAATTTGTATGGACAAGGAATATGTAAATGAAGTAAACAAAATTATATTTGACATTATTTGGAAAGGTAAAGACAGAATGAAACATTGTGTGCTCGTTGGGGACATTGAAGATGGAGGATTGAAAGCTCCACACTTGGATTCTGTAAAAAGCTCGCGAGTGAAGACCGTAGTAGCTAAAAAATTCTTCTTCTTCATTCCCTAAAACCAGTAGGTGGCAAATTTATCCTCGGCTCCAACTTTGATGTAAAAAAACTGCCTATCAAGATTCCAGGCTTTTACGAGGAATGTTTAACCCTTAAAGCCCCACAGGAGACTAAGGAAACATGACCCCTTATTCCCGGAAGCTAATTAAATCTGCAGTAGCTACTGACTCATTTTCTACCCTTCCTCAAAAAGTTTGTTATATCTAGAAAACAACAAGGTAAAATGCAAAACACTTGAGAGAAAAAATGTTCAACAAGGAATGATCTTTAATTCTAGCCTACAATTACTGCAAACAATGAATCATGGAACTAATTTGAGGAAGATAAACATCTGCAAAATGTATAAAATAGCCATGATCGCTATTTATTTACAACGGTTTGAGAATGAGAAGGGGAAAAATTCTCTAATTTTTTTATAACATGACCAATAGCAGTTGAAATTAACAAGAAAGAACCTTTATACAATAAAATAAATGTCACTAATGTCTTGGGTCCAGATTATTCAAATATATACTACAATGCACAATGTTTAACTCGCAGTTTGAATTTCGCACCCTTGTGACGCATTAGCTCAGACAGCACCAATGTGGTTGGGAAAGCATTTCAAACAAATTCGTTTGTCGCAGCGCTTGCAGCCTATTGAACAAAATTTAGTGACTTTATGCTTTAGTCAGCATTGACAGCGTCCCCTTGTGAATGGATAAGGCCAGTGGCCTCCTTCTACTGAACCAGAAGTGACTGTTCTTTTACGGCTGCTGAAATCACCGAGGAGGTTGTGAGCAAGTTCAGTGCGAAATTCTAACTGTCCTCTTGTCCAGTGGTTCAGTGCTTTTTTCTCTAAAATGAATGCATTAACAATGCTTACATCCACACAGAACCAGAAGCTTCTTTAAGTATGGAAACATTTCAGTGCCTGACAGTGTTTCCATTTGAATTACTTTGCCCCAGTAATGATCAGTACGAGTACTTACAGCCTCATTTGTCTTGAACCAGTCTTCTGGACTCTACTGGCATCGTTACAGTTTCCATTCATCAACCACTAATGAGACTTAATCACCCTTGAACACTTGAGGTAAGCTCAATTTCAAATTTTATGAAAAATCAGGAGAATCCTCACAGCTGCTGTAATTGTAGTTGCTTACTGCTACTCTCACACACCATGCAGCCTCTGCAACAGTCACTTGATCGTGGTGACTTCTACTGTTCAGTATACATGCCCCAGGTCTCTCTGGAATTGAAAAATGACTTGCTATAGCTTTATGTATGTCCTTTTCCATCTGCATGCGACATAACTTGCTGCAAGCCAAAATTATCACATTTAAAGGAAGAAGCACACAATGTGCATGTCACTGTGTATGGTGTTGGATCTTCTTCCAATGTCTGTCCAATAAGATGTCCTTTACGATCTGTTTTTCCTAACCAGGTTTTTTGAAACTGTGTCTTTCCGTGGGGCATGATTATAAGTTACATGTGGTTCACAGTATTACTAAACTCTCTGGGACAAAACTCCAAGGCAGACGAAAGCATCAATAACTTTTTGGTTTTCAAGTGAACAATAACGACTTACTAATTTAGGAAGGCTTTTGCCTGTAATAGCTAGATTTATAAATTTTAAACTATAAATGTTAGGTACTCTTAAGTATACTTTATTGTAATTATTACAGGTAGTTACAGTTGTAAGGCGCATTTGATCATATTCAGATGTTATTTTGCGCCTAATAAGAAATAAATTATTATTATTATTATTATTAATTATAATATGATTATCGTTTGAACCTGTGCTGTTAATGCCTTCATAAGTGAGCAAAAAAAGGTTGTGTAAGTCATACCCCTGCATACACATTACGGTAAAAACTAAATTAAAGAAGTACTGTCTTAAAACAGCAGTCATTGAAAAACTTGTTTGCTACAGTGTTACTACTTTCAAAGTCTTAGAAAGAATGTGATATTATAAGGTGCTACAAATCTAGTACTTGAGCATATGCATATACTCAAGCAAAATGAGCACAAATCACCTCACTCAAATTCTATCACAAAAATAGCTAAAATAACTAACCAGTCATTGATAGAAGTTATCAAACGCTTTCAACGACATTGGTCATCAGTAAGTACCAGCAAGAAATAAAAAATAGCAATTTTAGGGACAATTCTGAAAAATGACTGTTTTTAGGGATAGGGAAAATAATTAGGGACTTAGCCACCAACATGCATGAGTTGTACTCCAAGGTCAAGTTTCGTTCTAATAGTACATTGTTCTCTCTTATGCCATTATGAAGGTAGTCTTTTGAATGAACAAGGCACAAGGTATAACTTATTCTAAGAAAAATGGAAATCTATTCGGCTGGAGTGAGCATGTTTTTGCTGGCTGCTTGATGAAGAGTTTTACTTTCTTTCAAACCATGGAAATGTGCAATGAGACACATTGGCAGGCTTTGTGTAACCACACCAACAAACATTGTCAGACTAGCATGATCACCCAACGCAGTAATAACCTCTGCTTCATGAAGTAGATTTTTCTTTCCCTTCTCCTAGTCTACTGTGTTATTGCTACATACATAGATACATACTTTATTAACGTGGCTAACACTTAGCT